GCGAAAACAGTCTCGCGAGACAGCATTTGCTGTCTCGCGCTGTCGAGACAGTATTTGCCTGTCTCGACGGGCGAGACAGTGTTTGCTGTCTCGGCCCGCGAGACAGTAAATGCCTGTCTCAGAAACAGTAACGGTCAGGCAGTTTTTGTTTTAACTGCCTTCCCACGTTTCAACTCCGTTATTTTGGCAGTTATCAACGTGATTCTCGCCCGACGTTTCCCATGTTCTTGAACAGTTAGTGGCCACGTGTAGGGAGTTACAAAGGCGGTTTTGACCATCTGAAAGCTTTCTCACGCGCGAGACAGTAAATTCTGTCTCGCACGGGCGAGACAGTAAAGACTGTCTCCGTGGGCGAGACAGTAAGGACTGTCTCGCATGGGCGAGACAGTAAAAGTCTGTCTCGCCAGCGAGACAGTAAGACTGTCTCGCGTGGGCGAGACAGTAAAAGTCTGTCTCGCCGCGCAGACAGTAAAGACTGTCTCGCAGTGGGCGAGACAGTAAAAGTCTGTCTCGCCAGCGAGACAGTAAAAGACTGTCTCGCGCGGCGAGACAGTCAAGTCTGTCTCACGTCCGAGACAGCCCATACTTGTGCTTCTCTGCCTTTTTGAGCCTGTATTCGGATATCTCTCAGTATTTTTTGACGCCTACAAATACCCTTCCAAAGTATTCCAGACTCAATCTTTTATAGAGGAGTTCTGGGATGCTTTGGATAGATAGGTCTTACTTTATGATGGCTTCAATACTTGATCTCTTTGTCTCTCAGTCTATTCGGTGCTTTTGTAGAATAGCTAAGATTCTTTCGGCATGGCGTTCATCGCTTGACCGGTTGGTCGAGATCTTGAATTGAAGCTGGATTTGTACTTGTGAATTCAGCTTTTATCATCAAATTGATCCCGCATTGTTAATCATCGTATCAGTCTTCATAGGAACACAGTTTATACTCATGTATTTTTTGAGTTCTCAGGAAATGGTTTAACTCGTATACCCGTTGGGAGGTAGCCAGGTTTTCTTAAGAATATTTTAAGTGATATTCTCCAAAAACTTCCTGTGAGGGTAAGAAACTGTTTAGACTCGTGTAGCTATTGAGTATTCGGGAAATAGTTTAAACTTATATACCCGTTGGGAGTAGCCAGGTTATTCTTAAGAATATTCTGAGTAATATTCTCCAGAAACTTCCTGTTGAGGAGGAATACAGTTTAGACCTGTGTACCTATTGGAGTATTTCAGGTTATTTCTTAAGAATATTCTGAGTAATATTCTCCAGAAACTTCCTGTTGAGATTAGGAAACATGTTAGACTCGTGTACCTATTGGAGTATTCAGGTTATTCTTAAGAATATTCTGAGTGATATTCTCCAGAACTTCCTGTGTGAGATTAGGGAAACAGTTAGACTCGTGTACCTATTGGAGTATTCAGGTTATTCTTAAGAATATTCTGAGTGATATTCTCCAGAATTCCTGTTGAGATTAGGGAAACAGTTTAGACTCGTGTACCTATTGGAGTATTCAGGTTATTCTTAAGAATATTCTGATGATATTCTCCAGCAACTTCCTGTTGAGATTAGGGAAACATTTAGACTCGTGTACCTATTGGAGTATTCAGGTTATTCTTAGAATATTCTGAGTGATATTCTCCAGAAACTTCCTGTTGAGATTAGGGAAACAGTTATAGACTCGTGTACCTATTGGGGTATTCAGGTTATTCTTAAGAATTTCTGACGCTGATATTCTCCAGAAACTTCCTGTTGAGTTAGGGAAACAGTTTAGACTCCTTGTGTACCTATTGGAGTATTATGGTCTCTATCTTTTTGTTTGGTAGACATGAACCCGTTGATGGAGAGGAAGAATTTTATTATTCTATCTCCTGGTCTCTTTTTGTTGGTAGAGATGAACCCGCAGATCGGAGAGGAAGAATTTTATATTCTATCTCTGGTCTCTTATTTGTTGGTAGAGATAAACCCGCAATCGGAGAGGAAGAATTTTATATATCCTATCTCCCTGGATCTCTC